ACACACACACACCACTTTTCTCAGGGGTGTTGCTAACTCTGGGCGATGTGGTGAGTCCTTATCCACGAGTCAAATGAATCCTGGGCAGACTGTCGGGGTTCAACCTCCTGATGAGTTGGTGAAAGTCAGACAAAACAGTCTGGCACAGTCATGCTTTTTTTTAGCGTATAGCGAATATGACAACACACACACAAACACGCACACATCACACACACACACACACACACACACACACACACACACACACACACATTCACACAGACACACACACACACACACACACACACACACACACACACACACACACACATGATTTTCTGTGTTCATCTGTGATATGCACGTCATAACTAATCATGTCGTTGTGTTTGTTGTCATGGACAGCGAAGCGATAACAGTCGCTGCACTTCATTTGTGTTGTTAGATATGGATCGCCGCCATGCTCGTGCTGTGCGAGGGGTTGGAGGGCGAGTGCGCGGCGATGAAGGCCAGGGTGAGGGTGCAAGAAATCAACGAAGACGCGGCCGAGTTTTCTGTCTCACGACCGCAGATGTCCGAGAGAGATGGACAGAGCCTGTCGCGCTCATAGACGGAATGGTCGATGATCCAGACTGGCTTTATCAGGGGGAGAGGGACTCAATCATGGTGTTGTCGGTTGGGGACGACGGAAGGCTGAAAGATTGGAATGGTAGGAGGGCCTACACTCGTATGCCCAGGATCGTTGGCTGTGCCTGACAGAACCCGTTGCCGCACTTGTTCTTGGAAGCAGTCCGTCTCCGTTGGCCGAATCTGCCTGATGAGCATTACAGAGGTTTCAAAGGTGATGGGGGAGAGTATGATGATGGAGGCGATTGCGAAGGACATGAGGGGAGTGGTCTCATGGTGTGTGATGTCCTGCCATGAGATCGCCTGTGCTAATAAAAGGGTTTAGTTGCTGCTGTCAAGTGGCTTGTGTTTACCTGGTGCTGTTTTATGTTTTTTTGTTGGCCATGAGTGGTCCTGTCCTGGTGCGTGTGTGTGGGCAACGCGGTCTGCGGGGATCTTTACACAATCGTTCGACCTGTCGAGGCCCACTTAGTTTATGGTTTTGCAATCCCTCCCTCCCTCTCTCTCTCTCTCTCTCTCTCTCTCTCTCTCTCCCCCCCCAGTACATTCTTCATCTATTGTACGTGTTTACGTGTACGAGTGTCGATTACAAAGAATGTCCGTTTGGCTTGGCTACGTGGAGTTGGCACTTTGGACATTTCATAAATTTCACTCACACGACACACACTGTAGAACCAAGCTGTTTGACATAGTTGGAATAGGTATTCTGAATCTTCTCCTTGTGGCGTGATATAGAGGCGAACTGTTTCATTGTTGTTAAATAGTTCACCTCAATGCGCTCCATGTACCTTGCTATAAAGGCAAACAGTTTCGTTGTTGGAATGGCTCTTAAGTGTGCGCAATTGTATGCAATGGAGAAAACTCTGCATGGATTTTGGTTCTGCTCATCCTGTTGCAATGGGGAGTGTTGTTGTGGTGAAAGTGTTCAAGAGACCCACTCACACACAGATAAATACACCCACACGCATAGACACACACACAGACACACTTGCACACTCACAACTGCAGAACTAAACTGTTGAAGAGACACGCACACACACACACACACACACACACACACACACACACACACACACACACA